GCGTCTGCTCGGTCCCTCGCTCAACAAGGCCGGCAAGTTCCCCACGCTCATCACGTCGGGTGAGGACATCAACGACAAGGCCAACGCCGTCCGCGCCACGATCAAGTTCCAGATGAAGAAGGTGCTCTGCCTCAACCTCGCCGTCGCCCACGTCGGCCAGACCAAGGAAGAGATCATTGTCAACACCCAGTTGGCCGCCAACTTCCTCGCCTCGCTCCTCAAGAAGAACTGGCAGAACATCAAGGTCCTCTACCTCAAGTCGACCATGGGCCCCGCCATGCAGATCTACTACTAAATGTTGCTAGCTTTGCCTCGTACCGGATACCCTCTCGGCCCCTGAAGCCGTGTAGGGGAGCTGATTTCGACAACTTAAGGGAGGAAACTATTAATGGAATTTAAATCCTGCGATATCTCAACACTCCTCGTCTTGCCTTGACACTACTGTCGGTCACGCAACCCACAGCGGCACCGCAAGCCTCGTATCGACGCCTTGCGACGTCGACATGTCATTGCCTCGCAGATAGTTTCCAAAAACAGATGCGAGAGATGGTTGCAAGGCCCGTATGGAACCGAGCCTCGCCGTCGGTGGCGAGCGCTACGCTGACCCTACCTAGCCTAGCCGAAGCGCCATTAATGGTGCTACACGACCCTGCCGTACACATACGCGCCGAGGTCGCGGGTCGGGCGTTCTTGATGCTTGGCCGTGCGACGGCAGCACCATGACCTTCAATAATTGATATGCAATATCAATGTCCAGAGGATACCGACCATGGGCACCGAACGTGGCCACCTTGTCGCGGCCTTCCGAGCCGAGTGTGTGGCGCCGCTCCAAGCTGCCGTTTTTGCCGGCGGATCCATCGTGCTCGACGCGGCAGCCGAAGATGCGCTCGCCCGGTATGAGGAGCAGCCCGAGCTCCATGTCGAGGCGTCGCTCGGCGAGATGGACGCGCTCTGGGCTGACACGGCAGACCTCTTGCTACAAACCACGCTCGTAGCCGACGCCGACGCGCTTACACCTGCGTACCTCGCAAGCGTCGTGCATCCCATCTTTCAGTGCAGCCGCATTCTTGCGCGGCTCGACGCGGCCTTCTGGGCATCATTGCCTGCCCCGCGCGACACGGCCAAGTGGCTGCCAACGTTGCTGCTCGCGTGCAGCCATTTTCTGTGCGACGACGCGCCGTGGCATACACCCAAAGCGCATGCGCAGGCAGAAGCGCTCCTTCATGCGGCCTGCGCGCACGTTGGGTGGCGCCGCGGCCTCGCCCCGCCCTCGCGCGACGAGCTTGTCGTCATGTACTAGTGCCCTCGCACCTCAATGGCTTCTCATACCAGACGCGATCCGATAGGCAATGCAAGCGCGCGCTGTCGGTCCTAGGAACCAAATGCCGGAAGGAGACGTGGGTGCGCGCGGGCTGCCCGGCGCCCTACGCCTTTCGGTTCCTCGTGCAGCAGTTGGTCTTTCCGGCGCTCGACCACGACGTCGTCGGCCGCACGCTCGCGCTCGCACTGCCGCTGCTCGACCAAACCATCGTGTCGGTTCAGCGCATTGGCGTCGACGTCCTCCAGCACGTCGTCGCCGAGGCCACGCCCACGGACGTCCGCTGGCACAGCGATATTGTGCTGCACATGCTGTACGAAACCCTCAAGATTGCGATGAGCAACGCGTCTTTTCTGCAAGCCACGCTGCGCTGCCTCGCCGACACGTTGGCGGTGACGTCCGTGGCCCACGATATCACGAGCTACGACCGGTTCTTTCCGACGCTACTGCGGTCCTGGGACATGACCTCGGACGTGACCATGAAGCGCGTGTACGTCATTGGACTTCGGCCGTGGATCGTTGCGATGGGGGCGCCCCACAGCGTGCAGATCGTACAGTACCTTCCGTCGATCCTGACCGTGCTCTTGGCCTGTCTCGAGAACAAGCTACTGACGCTCGATGCGCTTGAAACGCTGCGCTTGGTCGTTGTCCACGCCTGGGTGCGCATGCCACAACATGTGGACGATGTCGTGCTCGGCCTCTTGCGGTAGGATGGCGATGATGCTGATGATGACGACATTGATGGAATGCCTGAGCTTGTTGTTTGCTAGGTGCTTGGTGTTCAACACGATCCAGAGCCATCTCGAGGTCGCGGCAGGGGCACCACAGGATGCCGTGCTCGCAGAGGTCGTGGGCGTGCTCCGGCTTCTGCAAGCGCTCAAGAAGAAACCCCTTGCGCCGCTGTTGGCGACGATTGGTGCCGCGTGCACAGAGCTCACGGCCATTTGTGATCAAGTACAAGTGGCCATGGCTGCCTAGGACGAATGGAAACCTTGATATAATGTCATTTTGTGCGTTGACATGAGAAATTATCAATTGTAACCATGTGACGTGGCACAATACGCTGCAAGAG